GAGAGAGAGAGAGAGGAGGAGTTTATCATGTTTTGCAGAACTCTTATAGAACTAAGCTAAAATGGTTAAGCGCTGAAATATAGCAGTCATCAAATGTCAAAGGGGTTCACATTGAAGTAACCCATTTCCTGCCGGCCAAATGATGACTCAAAAGTGAGGTGTAGAAAGATACAGAAGGCTCGATATAACCTGACGACTCGTAAAAGCTGCAGGCGGAGTTGCACAAAGAGCGCATCTAATAGAGTACGAGATCCAAGAACAAGTTGGGTTGTTCACCGGCCCACCGGGCTCAAAACCCGACAGATGGGGTTAGGCCTGTGGACATCTGCCGCCCAAACCTTATCTACGATTGAGAGAGAAAATTCCCCATTTTATATACACAATGTAAATGACAACAGGTTCGATACACAACTTAGCATGACAGCCAAGTGGATGTGGTTTTCCTTTTACTCCAACTAATTCCACCACAACTCGGAGTCCATTTGAGTTTATCAAAAGTCTAGTGATGGATAAGTAGAGGATTTAATAGATGATCTTGAAAGAATTATGCGAAAAGCATACCCAACAAAGGTCTATTTAATACTCAGGTCGGTAGAGATTCAAGGAATTTGAGGTTAGGAAAGAGTAGGGTTATGATTATAGCATGTTGACTTATGCTGATACTTGGTAGACAATATAATCATATTATTTATTATGAATTTACTTTGGGGTTATGTTGTCGAATTTGACTAAGTTATTGTTGGGGATGCATTGGATTTGGTCTTTTTATTGTCGAATGAATGATGATTTATAATCAAATTCCATCATATTATTATCGATGGATGTTTTATAGCTAAATTTGATTATAGCTGATTAAACTCAACCACATCAGATACTTAATGATTAGATTGGATTGCATCATCAACGGACGATACTTTATGGTTGAATTCAATTATATCATTATTGGAGTTGTGTTATGGCCAGATTTGATCGTGTTATTGTTAGATGATGTTACACGATCGGATTTGGTCATATCATTATTGGAGAATGCTTCATAGTTGGATTTGGTCATGTCATCATCGGATGATTGAATTCTGCTAAATCATTGTTAGGAGATACTTACATCGTCAATGGATGATACTTCCAGGTCAGATTCGACTATATCAGTGTTGGATGATGTTCCATGACTAGATTTGGTCCACGAAAGAACATTTCATGTGCATTTCTTGTTATTACATGAGTTATATGTTGAACTCGTCTCATCAAGTATTAACTTATCGATATGATTAAAATTTGATAATGTATTCTACCATTTATATTTTAGTTCATAACAAGCATAACCATTAATGGTTTGCTTGGTTATGACACTTGATCCACTTAATAGATGATTCATAATCACTGTCTAATGATTGATCTTTCCTATGACTAGTTGGAATGCTATAAATCAATATTTAATCAAACTATCAAGGAATCGAGAAGATCATGATCCAAGTGTTTAATGGCCAATCTATAACCACTATCCTAATCGAATCATTGAGCATACAAAGTAACCAATGATGAAACTTAAGGGTCGCTCGGCTCTTATAAAAGGAGGACGTACAATCTATTTTCTTCATGCTTACTATGCAATTGACAGTGACTTTCAAGTTTTAGAACTTTTGAACCCCGTCATAGAATACCTTCTTCATGCTTGCTACGCAATTGACTCTTGATACATGATGAAATTTCTATTTGACTATCGACCATGACAAGGACGATTCAATCATAAAAAAAAAGGGAGCATTTGGGGCTAGTTTGATTGTATTGTCATTGAAAAGAGTGCTTTGAGCCAATCCATTCGTCCTATTGTCAAAAAGGAGAGTTTTGGATCATTTTGACTATGTTATCATGAAAGGAGCATCTTGGGCCATTGCAACCATGCTATTATAAAAAAGAGCACGTTAGATTAATTCAATCATGTTGTCGTCGAAAAGAATACTTTAGGCCGATTCAACCATGTTGATATTAAAAAGTATACTTTCGGTCATTTCAATCAGGAGTGTTTTTGGGTCGATTATGTCATACTATATTAGAAAAGAACTCTTTGTCATTAAAAAGAGCGCTTTCAATCATTTTGATTGTGCTATTATTAAAATAAGTGCTTTGGGTCATTTCAACCGTTCCATCATCTAAAGGGATGTTTTGGATCATTTTGTCATCAAAAGTAGTTTTGGTCATTTAATTGAGTTGTGATCCAAAGGAGCATTTAGGGTCGTTTCGATTGAGTTATTGTTAAAATGAACACTTTGGGTTGTTTTAATATTGCTATCATCGAAAGGAGTACTTTTGATCATTTCATCCACATTGTCATCAAATGGAGTGCTTTCGATAGTTTCGACTATGTTACTACCAAAAAAGGTGTTTTGGGTTATTTTAATAATAAAATCGTCAAAAGCATGTTGGATGTTTTGACTACACTATCATAAAAAAAAAAAAAAAAAAAAAGGTGCTTTGGGTCATTTTGATTGTGTTATCATGAGCACTTTGGCTCATTTCAATCACATTCTGTTTGAAATAAGCATTTTGGATCGATTCAATCATATTTTAGAATTTGAAATGTCAATTAGTTTGATACGATTATACCACTTGGGACTCTTTTATCGTTATTGAAGTTAGGTCACATGACAGATTTACTATTGTATATGCTCTCATGTGTGAGGCATCATTTGCCTTCCTATAAGTGTATCATTTTGATGGTTGCATTGAATTTGATCATATTTAATTCAATATGGTGATGATGACCTAACATCCTTACAATGGTGCTATTAGAGAGCTCAACATGGTGATCCACCAAACCATCATGGCTTTATATTATTCTCACCCAATTAGTTGTTGCACTCTTATCCATCTAGGTGGACTATCAAGTAAATGAACAAACCATCGAGAGCGGCCCAAGGGTCATTCAATCCATATAAATATTAACTTTCGTGGATCAATTAGTGAACTCATTCTTTAATGAGTATTTGTACCATATCCTTAGTGTTTCCACACGAGCAATTATGAGACTAGTTGCTTCCATCATATGGATTGGTATACAACACACTAGTATGTCTTGTTATCTCGATGTTCTTCTCGAGTAATATATGACTGGGATTATTTATGATCTATGTTTAAAGGTGAATCGATCTCATATATATATATATATATATATATATATATATATATATAGTAAATAAATAA